TGCAGAGGCCAGGGAAGGTTGTTGGGGACTCTGGAGTTGTAATTGATGGTTGTAAGCCTCCATGTAGGAGCTGGGATTCGAACCCAGGTACTCTGCAGGAGTAGTAAGCCTTTTTTAACTGCTGAGCTATCTCTTCAGCTCCTGATGTGGCAATATTTTTTAAATATTTTATTTTTGATTATGTGTGTATGTGTGTTTGTAGGAGCATATGGGTACAGTGCCCAAGGAGTCCATAACAGGGTATGCTATACTGGAGCCAGAGTTAGAAGTGGTTGTGAGCCACTGAAATGGGTGGTGGAATCTCAACTTTGGTCCCCTGCAAAAGAAGTGTGTACTCTTGACCACTGAGCCATCTCTGCAGCCCCCAATTTGACAAAATTTAGCTTGCTGCAAACTCTGCATTCTCTTTTCCCACATTTCTCTTGTCTGGCTTTCTTTTCCATATTTTGTTATATGAACTATTTATAAAGTATTTTGATAGTCATTAGAAATTTCCAAGTGTTTTTTTTTTCTCCAAGTGACTTAAAAAAAACTCATGTAGTTTATCAAACAGTCAAACAGCCTGACATGGTGACTCATGCCTGTGATCACATTTGGGAGGATGAGGCAGGAAAACTCTGAGTGTATTTCTAGGCTAGTCTGGGCTACAAAGCGATAGATACCTTGTCCCCCAAAAATGGTTTAGAAAATCAGGTGTCTCATTCCACATTAAAGACAAAAAAGTTTCCTTCCACATGTTTCTCACATTTTAATAGTTTTATGATTTAAACCGAGCACCTTGAATGGATTTCATTGCTCCCTTCTGTCTTTCATTGGCACAGAATCCATACTCATGCACTGCTATGCACTGCTTTCCCTAGGTACATAATTTAAAAACCAATGAAAATAAAAAAAATAAATTCCCCAATTCAAGTAAATCCAGACCTAGGTATAGTGAAACTTAGCCTAGGAGAGGGTGTCGCAACCAAAGACCTTGCTTTCAGAGTCGGAACAGGATGACAGTCGATGGACAGTCGACCTCAAGATTGAACCTTTCAGGGGATAAGGAGATAGATAGGTCAGTGGATAAAGGCTTGCTGCCCAAGACTGGGGGCCTGAGTTTAACCCTCAGAAACACACAAATAGCTGGGCATGGTGACATGTATGTCCAGGGCTTGCTGGTCACCCAGTCTAATCAGATAGGAGTTCTAGGCCAAAGAGTGACCCTGTCTCAACGATATATTCCCTGACAAAATCCAGTGTCCTGGAGTTTGTGAAGAGCATCTTTTTCTTTAGTATAATTATTTAAATGTGACTACTCCATCCATAAAGACCTTCTACAGTCCATTTATATTTTCTGTGCTTGGTGACTTCAGTGTGTGGTAGTTACTGCTCATGGGAAAATTGCTGCCATCGATCTGGAGTGCAGGTTCAGTTTTCGTTTAGAGAAGGTTAGCATTACATATAGTTGATTTAAATACTCCAGAGAATCTTAAACTGGAATTTGGTCCACATGAAGAATGATTTCCTCAAAGGCGATCCTTGGGGTCTGGCACACAATTCTTGGGGTTATCTTACTTTTTTTCCAGTTCCAAGTGTCCACCAAAGACTCATTTCTTATCTTCTGAGTCTCTTTAACCTCTTTTAAAAATGGACAGATGCTTGGATAAAAAGCATTACCAAATGCTGGGCTTACATATGAGATTCCTAGTTTCAAAAAGATCTATTTATTTTTAAAAGTGTGTGTGTGTGTGTGTGTGTGTGTGTGTGTGTGTGTGTGTGTGTGTGTGTGTGTGATTGGTGCAGGTGCCTGTGGAGACAGAAGAGGGCACCACATAGCCCCTGGAGCTGAAGTTATAGAGAATTATGAACACCCTAAAGTGGGTGCTATCGACCTGAACTAATATCCTCAGGGGAAGCAATACACTCTCAACTGCTGAGCCGTCTCTCCAGCTCCAGATTCATAATGTTTTTGAGCTATTGTAGCAGAGATCTGAAATATTAAAGTGGAAAACATCATTTGTCCTGTTTTCCTAGTTGCTCACAGTGGAAAGGTTAGGGCAAGAGGAATTACAGCCTGCTGATGCTGCATGTGTCTGCCATTGGGGAAGGAACCTTCAGTGAGCTGAACTCACTGTGGCATTTTGCAGAAGGTGGAAATCTAAACTATAGGCAGCTGTCCCCATTATATTAAATGCTGTTTTTCTAAATACTAATATATATGCCATGTGCTAGAAAGCTCCACATACATTAAGTTTCTAACTAAATTTTGTAGTAAGGATGATGAACAATAATCCTCAATCTAATGTGGAGAAATCATCACAGTCACAGGCCTCCCCACAACAGACACCAGGGCATGACACTGAGCGTGGGCCTCTTCTTTCAAGACCCCCACGTGCATTATCTAAGTCTCCCCCCACATCTCCTCTCTTTCCCCTTTCTCTTCAGAGGTAATTAGTGATAAGTTTTGAGCCCACCTCAGCAATGCAGAATAATTCTGCCCCCTCTCAAATTCCTCCACTTAACTGAATTTGCAAATCTTTAAACCTTGATGACATTTTTACGAGTTCCATGAATTAACACATAGTCATTACCAGATGCACAGCTAGCTCGTGTTCAAATGCCTGATGATCTCCCAACTGAGCTCTGCTTATGCTTCGGGTTATTTTCTGGGTTGTTGGAACTAGGCACCTTGGTCTGTTGTTTTTGTTTTTGTTTTTCATTGCCATAACAAAAAACTAAAGGCTGACCAACTTTATAGAGAAGAGACATCAGACTTATTTCATATTTCTAGAGGTTTAATTGCAAGTTGCTCGCTTTGGCATGGTGTGGGGAGGTCTTCCTGGGTCATGGTAGACAGTAACACAATGGCAAGGACATGTGGGAGGCATCAAGATATCAGTGAGAGTTTAGGTTCTACAGTCCCTTCTGAGGGTGCTCCTCCAATGACAAATCCTCTCCCTAGGCACTGCAATGTTAAGATCCCATCAGCTTACTGTGTCACACTGGGGATCAAGAAGCCAACATGGATCTATGTTGGACACGCTTAAACCATACCCACACCCTGCCATGTGCTCCAAGCGAGGTGTCCAGAGTGCACTTGGGGTTGAGTCATTTTTATCTATAGTTTCCTCCTCTTCACATTTTTGTCCCCTTCTACTTTAATGTTTTTGCATTCTATATCTTCTGTCCAACACAATCTCACACACACATCCAGGTTTGCTCATTGCATTCGCATGACACCCTGACTCTCATCTGAACTTCCTGTGTTCCCAGCAAATAAGTGGCTAGTGTGAGAACAGTCAGAATTCTGAGCAGTTCAAAGGGCCAGCAGGAACAACTCATAGATAGCTTTCCATGCTTTTATTAGGGAGCCAGTAACACTTGGCTTTTCTCTTCTTGTTTGGCAGCCACTGATCAGCATTTCATGGGTCTACCACTTAATTAGTGCTTGAAAAATGGCATTCTATGTTATTTTTTTCATTTTTATTTACGACCTGGATATGTCTATGAGTATAGGCATGTGTGTTTCACTCAAATCCTCCATTTACAGTTAAGAAAGAAACTCAAGTTTATTGGGGTGGTCTAGCTTGTTAAATCTGAAACATGCCAGTGATAGGGATTGTTGGGGTCTCTGAGCCCAGAACTTTGAGACCATCACAAGCAGCCACACAGTAGTGGTCCAGACTCCTGCCTTTTTCTATTAATTAAAAACCAGGTATTTGTACCAAAAGTTATCAGCAGCTTCCAAGATCCCACTAAATACTCTAACATGATACCTGCTTTTGTCGGTCCTTTGAAATTCTATGAATTTTCATCTCTGGAAGATCCAACATCCTTCCATGAAGTGCATTTTGTCACCCTGACTGTTGGATAAAAACACAATAGACAATGCGGAAGCTAGTCTCTATCTACTTTCCATGCTCAGGGATGTTGTCTAACCTTGTCCTTGGAGTGCAGAGGAACAGAGGGGAGAAAATTCTGAGACATGCTCCTCATGGATCTAAATATCTGCTTCTGCTAATATTGGAGCATGGTCATCACCCAAGATTTCCTAAGTAGATGAGACAAGGTTAGATTCATTCCACTTGGTGTCTAATCTGAGGAAAGGTGGGCAGATGGTGAGATCTCCTCTCCACTTTTCTGGCCATGACTGTGCCTGTCCCTTGTCCTTCTAGGAGGCAGTAAGTAGAGCTGGCGAAGGAGATGGAGAACTCTTGGGAGCACTTTCAATAGCATCTTCATCTCATTGAGCTGGTTCTCCACTCGGGGTTCAGTCCCAGCAGTTACACCTGTGTGACTTCTCTGAGAAGGTTCCCTCGTGTCCCTGTAAACCATTTACTGTAAACCTCCTTTCTTAATCTGTCACCTAATTGGTTGGTTAGGATTAATTTCAGGGGGACTGTGTCCTGAATGATTCTACAGGCTGCTACATGTTAGAGAAGAGTAGCAGATGACCCTCTCCTTGGGGGACATTCCTGTTGGGTTGCTTGCCTATAGGAACCCACAGGAAACACTGAGAAATCCACAGGATGATGGATGTTTGTGTAATGAGAGCCAAAATTTAGCAAGAGGAGATCAGTTGAAATTAAGGGGAAAACCCTTAGTGGCTATGTTTAGTGAATAAGCCCAAATCCTTTGTTGGAAACACAATGCCATCAGTGCAAGCTTGCTTTGGTGGAGAAATGAGGTTTGATGCTGGCTTTAAAAAGGAACAGTGGGAAAACAATGCAAAATCAGAAGAGAGGTTTCCTGATTTTGTTTGAATGAAAACATGAGAACCCTACTCAGGGGAGCTTCATCAAACAATCCATTGATGCCTAAATACGTGATTAACAGTGGGCACTCCCACCACCCAAAGAGCTTATTTTCTTAAACGGAAGCTCACCTGGCATAATTATTCTTTTGGTGTTACTACTTGGTTATACTAACACTTGAACAGTCATGACCAGAAGTTGCTTTGAGCAGTTCCCGATTCAGATGGGCTTAGTGATTCTGCCTCTCTGTCCCGCGTTACTCACCTCAGTTCCGATGACAATTTCTTCCCTGGTCGAGTAGAACATAAACTCGTAGAGCCTGTAGTGCTGGAATAAGCTGAAACACAAACAGATATGCAAACTAGCTTGAGAGAAGAGAAAAATATCTGAAGGTGTAACTCAGAGGAGAGGGGGATTGGCCAAGCCAGAGATGGTCCACGGAGGTACAGAAATCCATCTCCTGCATTCCAGAGTAAGCTGTCCGAGAATGCAGGGAGATACATGTTTTGCTTTCTGAGACACTGATAGGACAGCACAGCACAGAATTAAGGAAAGTGCCAGCAGATCTATTTGTGACACAAGATTGGGGCGGGGGGGGTTCTGGGGGGGGACATCTAGGGTGGAGAAGCAAGAGTGTGTTTCCTAGTTTGAAGCATAGCAACCCTCCCCACCCCACGCCACAGGCAGCTACACAGTCTCGCCATCGGCTTCTCTTTGCTCTAGAACCAACTCAGTACTGGTATGAACTGTGTGGGTTTCTATAGCCGTTACGCGCACACTGCCAAAATGTTTCAAGATTAAATCAATCTCTAAGAAAACCAGAAAAATGACTTGGCAAGGTCTAAAATTTGTTTTTAAGACGTCCAACTTTCCTGCGGGATGTATGGTCACACATCACAGGCTGACATCCATTTAAGCCGATCGTTTCTTCCCACCTGAAAACTAGGTGGGCAGTAACTATGGACGACGAGATCTCAAAGTCACAAGCACTTGCAAATAAATGTTTCTAGTAAATTTAGAGCTTGGTGATGTATCATTGTGTTAAAAATGTTACTGAAGGCTGACTTCTAATATCCTGTTTGTGATAATATTTGAATTTTTCTAATTCTCTTCCTGCTGGTTGGGAAAATTAATAGATTCATAATACAGCAAAACGCCCAAGAAAAAAAAAAGTCTTAGTGGTTCTCTTTCACTCTGGTGCCTTCTGCTATTTAAGAAAATTGATTTTAATATAACCGAGAAATTAACATTTGCAAGAATGTAGCTACAGAGCATGTGTAATAATGGTTTCTTCTGGATGTTGTAATGGATCAAAGTTTCAATTCATTTGAAATCAATGAAGAAATCCTCAGGCAGCTGGGCCCCTCTGAGTTACATTAGCAGTGGAACTCCCTAGGAGCTCTGTCCATTAAAGAATAGTGACTGTGTGGGCCCAGTCAAGTTTCCTTTCTTCTCCGAAGCCATTGAATACTTGATTTACTCATCAACATTCGCAAGACTAACTTAGCTTTTGACATTGCTTTGATCTGTTGACTAGAAAAACACAGGAAGATTAGCCAAGTATGATAAATAACTAAAGCAAAATAAATTTAGCTTACCCCCTCCTTTGTATTGGTGCCCTAGAGAGAGGACTGTAGGGTCTAAAATAACACACTGACAATAACTGGTTTGGGGGTCTAAAAGTCAAAGGCCATATTTGAGAACCAGCTTGCTCACCTGTAAATTAACTAGAAAGAAACTCCTACTTTGTCCATCTTGTGATAGACAAGGAACATAGGGCAAAACATTTCCACTCTGAAAGGTCATACTCTCAGTCTTTTGTGTCCTTGTTATATAGAGGGATAGGGCTGTCCCGTGTCTGCCAAGAGGTAACTTAAGCAATGAAAACAGCATCCATGACTTGGGTATGATGGTCAAAGATGCAGTAAGGAGGTGGGGCTGGGACCAGGACCAGGACCAGGATGTATACTCAGGGAAAGATGCCTAAGGGGACACTTCCTAAGGGACAGGCCAAGTTCCCTCCCTGTCTCTCTGCCCCCTCTAGCTTCTCCAGGGGGATGATAGGGGTCTCATCTGAGAATGAGTTCAGCCATGGGAACACATTTGCCATATCTTCCATTGGACTTCTGTCTGATTCAAGCTTTTAGATGATGTTGTCCAACTCTCAGGTCAGACCTTGAAGCAAGATAAAATAAAAAGGATCCGAGCTGTCTGGCCTAGTGACACATTGTTTGGCACAAAGTGAGGATGGAACTGATTTTCTTACAGTAGAATATGTGTGGTTCTCAGGAAGAAGAACACTTAATGAAAAAAGGGTAAACAACATTTGAATTTATAAATGTATGCATTATATATATATATATTTATTTAGATTGCATAAGCAGATAGCTCTCTCTCTCTCTCTCTCTCTCTCTCTCTCTCTTCTCTCTCTCTCTCTCTCTGTGTGTGTGTGTGTGTGTGTGTGTGTACTTGTTTAGATTGCATAAGCAGACAGCAGTAGTAGCCCACACACAAGTTGAGAAGAAATTTTGGTAGTAGTGTTTCCAGACCACAGGTGTAAATATATCATCTAGACTAAAGTGAAAATATCTGAAATGTAATTTTATTGACAAGTTAAGTTTTATATTGCTGTGTGACTATTTCCTCCTACGTGCCACATTCTCTTCTAGAAGGAGGGTTTTACAAGTCTTAGGACGACAATAAGACTTACGAAGCAGAAGAGATCCTGAAACCAGGGGCTCAAGAAGCCCAGAAATGACAAGATTCAGATCTCCTCTCTATATAAGGTTGTGTAAGGAATAAGCAGTCCTGGGAGAGGGGCGAACCACTGATAAAGCTACCTGTCACGTTCTGTGGGGAGATCAAAGGATGTGTGGCTTTCATGGGTTGTCTTCCATGCTGGTTGTGGGGGTGGTTCAGCTATCTTTGAGTTGCCCATGCCACGGGAAGTAATTCTAATAAACCCATTATTTCACTAAGCTGGGTCTGGGCAGAATTATGTCTTTGGTCTGTCTGTCTGTCTGTTCTCTGGGGGTGAACAGGCATTTGTTCACACCTCTCCAGGAATAGTTATGGAATGTGCATGCCATAGGCCATGACCGAGAAACTTCATCTCTTAAGTTGAGTATGGCTTTCAGTGGTTGGACCAGCAGATGATGAGGGTGAAACTGAAGCACACATACTTCTGATAGTTCAGTTATCTCCATCTTTATAGAACTTAATAATTGTTGAAATGAATGTGTTGTGCAATTTCAATGCTGCTAAATTTTTATTTGTGCACCCAGGAGGGATTCTGAACACTCGTGGAAAGGCTCACACTGCCTCACACAGCTTCATTATCAATTCCAGATATCCTAATCGCTGATCCTTTATCCCTCGTGTAATAACTATATTTAAATGCATAGTTACTCTCCAATCGCAATGTGGAGATTTAACAGCATTATATCTGGAGCTTCTGTATTTAACTAATCTCTTTAAATATTCTTTTTATTAGGAGATCTGAGATCGGTCATGTAGAGCTGTTAAGATGTACATTGATGAACGCTGCTTGGAGAGATGAGTTGAGACAGGGAAGGGAGCTTGTCCCGCGCTGTGAGGAAAGGGACATCATGGCCCATGTGGAGGCTTTGATGCTATGGTTAGCTACCAGGGGACCCCATTTACATTACAAACCTGGGTTTAGGGCTTAGCTGTAGAAATGCATCCTGCCTGAACAGACAAGCAAGTGTAGATGAAGAGGGAAGCCAGAGCAAAAGTGCATGGTTGACTTCCCCTCTGCAGGGAATCTCAGGCCCTAAGGGGCAGAAGGACCTCAAGGCACAGATTTTCGTGTGCTTGCTCATGCGTGTGTGTGTGTGTGTGTGTGTGTGTGTGTGTGTGTGCGTGTGTTCGTGCATTCACTGGGGGTGGTGGAGGTGAGAGGACAAACTCAGGTGTTGATCTTCACTTCCACTTTTCACCTTGTTGAACTTTCTTGTTCACTACTGCCTAGGCCAGGGTGGCTGGTCCAGGCAGGAGCTTCACCTCCTAAGTGTCTGTCCTGGGCTTATAGACACCCTTGGCATTTTGTGGGTTCTATGAATCTGAATTCAGGTCCTCAGGCTTCTGCAGCAAGTGTTTTACCCAGAGAGCCATCATCTACCCAGCCTGCAGGGGGAGGGGGCATAGGTTTCTGTCCATTTTCTCCTCTTCTCCCATGGGAGGAACTTGTCTTGCTCTAAAAGCTAATGGAAATAAAGGCTTTTCAGTGAGACTCACACATTAGGAAGCCTGTTTTCTACTAGAAGAATTGCACTGTATTAAATGATGTCTTGCAAAAAGAACTGTATCCCATGCCTTTATTAAGCCACACCAGGAATCAGTATACAAGCTTTATCATATTAAGCACACTAACATTTATAAAGCTTCCAAACAACAATCAGGGTCTTTGCCAAGTGAGTCCTGAACCAGTGTAGGACATCGGGTGGCCCTCTGTGTTGAAGCATGCTGAATGTAATGTTAGGAAATAGTGGAGACACAGTTGAAAAGCAAGAGCAAAGAGACTGTGTGGGAAGACACAGGTAGAGGCAGATTTTCACCTCCTGATGCCCCGGGATTTGTGAAGTCTAAAAATGTCTCTTTGGAGAGAGGCATGCCTCTCACACATACTTTGTAATGGGCTCTATAAAGCAAAATTAGGCTGGTGAATGGCTCAGCACTTGGTGTGCACACCTGAGGACCAAATTCAGGTCCCCAGCACCCATACAAATGCTGGGCAGGCATGGTGAATCACCACTGATGCCATTGGAGGCAGGGCTTTCTAGCTGTCTAGCAGAATACCCTGGGTTTGAGTGAGAGAGTCTGTCTCAATAAATGAAATGGGGAGTAGTTGAGGATGACACTTGGGGTCAGCTTTGAGCCTCCAAACACATTTGCACACATGTGCACCCTCCTACACAAGTATGCCCCTATATTAGAAAACACCCATGCATACTACATATACACAGGCAAAAAAAAAAGAGAGAGAGAGACAGATTTCTTGCAGTGATACAGAGTCACTGATAAAAAAATACTTCCTCCATGTCCACCATCATTTTCTAAGAAAGTAAGACTTGATAATAAGTTATACTGCCCATTAGTTCAAAGTAATTTAGGGTATTTAATAAATTTGATGAAGTTTGTGACTCTCCTCATTTTTTTTTTTCTGTACCAGGGATTGAACATACAAGCTCATGATGGCTAGCGACAAACACCTTACTAAGGAGCTACATTCTAAAACCTCTTTGAAAATACTTTTGAGACAAGACTAATTTGCTTAGGCTGACCTTGAACTCATGCTGTAGTGCCTTAGCTTCCCCTCCCAGGGATACAGGCCTCTGCCATAAGGACTTATAGCTCTTTCATTATAAACACATTCATACAAAAATCAACTCTTAAGTGGAAATGAATGTTACTCTTTAAATTGTAATTGTGGCTCCTTGGACAGACTAGCTACCTAAAATAGAGATCCATTATAACCGAATTCAATTTTGTTAATAAATTGCTGTTGCTTCCAGACTCAGGGAAGAAAGTCAGTCCCCAATAGTGGTTACAGGCCAGTGGAAGTCACAGTGTCACTCAGGGGTCATCTTTACGAATGCTGGCCTCACTTTCCTTTGTTAGATGGCAAAGCTGAGTATTCTCTACTTTGAAAAATTAATTTTGTCTTTGTGGGGGGTGCGAGGGTATATCTGTGCCACTGCCATGTGTCAATGAACAGTCTGGAGGAGTTAGCTCATTCTTTCCTTCTACTGTGTGGTTCCCAGGGCTAGAACTTAGATCGCCAGAGCTTGATGGCAAGCATCTTCACTCACTGAGCCATCTCTGCAGCCTAACTGTTATCTGCTTATTGAGTAGTTGCTGCGCAAATTCTATAGCCATCTGAATCTACTAAAATCTTAAGTTACCTTTAGTGGGTGTTTCCTAGAAGACACGAAATGGAAGGTAAGTGGGATGAATACAAGTCCTACCTGGTTTTTAAGTAATCGATGATGGCGTTGGCTTCTTTGACGTCGAAGACATGCAACTCCTGGTTCTTCTGTGAATGGTTAGGTCCAATTTCTGCCATCACTTCCCCGAGCCACTTGATGCTGTCCCCTAAGGACATATGGAGTGCTGGAAAACAAAGTCCGAAAGCTCTTCCATTATCTTCATAGCTGTTGCGGGGGTACAGTAGTCCAAGATATCCTAAATGTGCCCAAATTTCCCTTCTCCATCATTTATGGAGAGAAAAGGTGACGCTCTTGTTTCTTCACTACAAATTAATAATTGCTTTTTGGATGAATTAGTAGTGATTGGTCTACCCATCATTATGACCATATATGTTCATGGTTGGCTGGACAGACAGTTTGTTTCCAGTTTAAAAGGCAAAACCACCAATATCTATTTAAATGCCACTTTTAAACTGAAAGATGCATTTTAAAGCAAATTTTAAGGAACAAAAGATATATAAAAATCAGAGAAAAGCTGGCCACCATACGTGGCAAGGAGACCCAGATGATAGGTTTAGCCACTGTGGACATCAGTGCTGAACTCAGGTGGGAAAGGTCAATGAGTACAGTCCCCAGTTTCTTGGCTATAACTGGGTGTTACCATGGGAAAACTTGGCCAGAAGATTTTTTTTTGATAGGAGTAAAATATTTGGATAGTTTCAAATTTTCCATATTTATGTTTATATTTTACTTATTTTATGTCTGTCTCTGTATTACATGGTTTGTGTTTAGGTAAGAGTAAAATCTCAGGAAATGGGTTCTCTCCTTCCACCTGTAGGTTGCCAAGGACTGAACTTGGGTCATCAGGCATGGTGGCAGATGCCCTTACCTGCTATGGTCCTTTTTGGTTGGTTGGTTGTGTTTGGTTTTTCTTGTGGCAGGGACAATATTATCTACAATTTCTATGCCATCTCCCCTCCTGTATTGGAGATCGGATGCAAGCAACTGGAATATCCAGAAAGTCTTTCCTGACCTAGTGGGTAGGCACACATAGGGATGGTATCAGTGGGTAGTAGGTACACACAGGGGTGGCACCAGTGGGTAGGCAGGTACACAGAATAGAGGTGGCTGGAGGCAGAGAATTGAAAGGTCTTGAAAATTTGTGTCTGGGCTGGTGTCAGGAGAGGTGACTCTCAGCTTAGGTGCCGGACTGATGGCTTGCTGGGATTATTCAAGAAAGCTGCAGGGCAAAGCTGAAGATATTTTAGGAAGCCATCAGTCAACGTCCTACTTCATGCAATAGAATAGAATGTTGTAGCATCAAGGAGGAGACAAAGATGGATTATGAGAATATAGACTGATAGTTGGTTCAGCCACATCTAGAGAAGCTGAGTCAGGCACCTACCCCTTTTCTCTGTAATGTACATTCTGGATGCACCAGATGTCAAAATCACTAATATAATTTTTAGAAAGACATTACAGACAAACACTAGCTTATGATCTATTTTGTTCAAATTTTCTTCTATATGTAGCAATTAGAAAGAATTTTAATTGAATCCCACTGAACACTGCAATAAATGTGCCTGGTGCTGGCTGGAGCCCTTTAAAGAGCAGTGCCTAGAAGTTACCAGGGGTAATTCTTACGCAATTGAGCCATCCTACAGTGTCATGATTATCACTCGGGTCACACAGAACTGAGGGTGAGGGCCTCTTGTTTGTCATCTCAGGTAAAACAACTCCAACTGCACATTTCTCTTTTCCCACAGGTGAAGGGAATTGGGGAAGGGAAGATGAGTACAGTAAGAGTAACTCATAAAAAACAGAAAATCAAGCTCGTTAATTCAAGATGCTGAGAAAAAGCTTATTTAGATTACTGATTTGAATTCTAGGTGGAACTATGGTTCTCAAACACAGACTGCATCTGAGACTGTTGCTTCTGTTGACCAATGGCTGACTCTTCAGAACTGTTTCAGAATTTTTTTTTTTTTTTTTTTTTTTTTTTTTTTTTGTGGAGCCGCCTGTCTTACTGGAGATAATTGCTTTGAAAATGACAGGTGTTACACCTTTCTATTAGCTAACTAAAATACCACAAGTGGAGTGATCAGACTGAGAGGGAATTAACCAAAAGCACTCTGGAAAACTCAGGCGAGGAAGGACACCCTAGATTTATAACTAGTTAGAAAACTTGGGGTGGGATCAGGTAAAGGCACTTGCTAGCTAGGTCACGGGTCTCATCATTTTGTCTTAAAATGAGAACTCCTGCATCCAAGATGGTGGTGCTGCTGCCGTGGGAATGCACAAAACCCCCTGTGTGCCATCTTTCTAGGCAACGATTCCTGCACCGCCTCATGGTGTACCAGTTTGTATCCCTCTATGAACGTGCTGCTTCCAAGGTGTACCATATTTTTCATCTATTGTGCACGCACTATTTCTACTGAGAACCTGCTTCAAGTGTATTCCACATGTGCTGGCCACAGTGTGTGAATAGTAGTCCACATGTGCTGTTCATAGTGTGTGTGTGTGTGTGTGTGTGTGTGTGTGTGTGTGTGTGTGTGTGTGTTGCTTTCTGGCCCTTCACATATGTACTTTTATTAGTATGTACCCATATCTGGCCCTTCTTATATGTGTGCCTTCCTAGTATGTACCCATATCCTTTTACATATGTGCTTTTCCTTTCATCTATCCATTTCTGGCCCACTACATAGGAGTGGCTCTGTAATATGTGCTTTTCTTCCCATGTATCAATTCTCACTTATCACATACACACTGATTTCTAGTGTCTGTGTGCTAGTTTCTGGTGTATTACCTTTGTTGTTCACTCTAGGTTCTGCCCCATGCCAGCCATGTCTGATGTGACATCATCAGGATAGACCCTTGTTTGCTGAAGGTGACCTCATGTCAACTTAAGGAATGAACTGAATCCCTCTGAATCTTATTTGTCTCTCTTTCTCTCTGAATAACAATGCATAAATTATTTGCTGGGGTCCATTGTTGAATGAGAATGCTGATAAGAACGAAATGTCTGGACTTGTTTAACAGATGTGATTTCTTTTTTCAGCAATATTTTCTGCCTTCAGTGGGTACAAACCACAAAAGCAAAAGCGTATTCTTTTATAAATTTTTTTATTTTTTTGTTTCTCAGGCAGGTTTTTCTCTGTGGAGCACTGGAGCCTATAGACCAGGCTGGCCTCAAACTCACAGAGATCCACCTGCCTCTGCCTACCGTGTGCTGGGGTTTAAGGCGTGCGACACCAACGCCCGGTGCAAAAGCATAATCTTAAGATGTCTCTGAACTGTACTTTCTATCTTTGAGATGATCCAGTTTGATTTGAGGTGGGCCCTCAGCAGAATGTCTTGTAGACATGAAACACAGATTTGGGGCAAGGACCAAGTCCGAAACCTAACTGTCCAAAAGTGGGTGTCCTGTGGACTGGGCTACTTGACAACCATAAACCTGGGATGTAGCTGTGGTGGAGTGTGGCATGATGACTTCATCTTCAGGCCCCTATGGTCCCTTGCAGACACACTTTAACTCCTTGCTGTGTCAACCAGCAGAAGCTGTGTTTTTTGTTCACAATATACTTCGTTGGAATGGCTGAGAGGGTTTTTTTTTTTTTTTTTTTTTTTTTGGACTGGAGGTATACATGAGCTTGTTTGCTTTCCACTCATTTTGCACAGACACTTTCACTCTTTCCTGACTTAGCTTCTTGAAGCCTGCTGGAGGGTCGGAAGTGCAGGTTCGAACTGGTATAGACCACACAAGACTCAGCTGAAGGCCGCCGGGAGGCTGGGAGGTGTAGGAAAGGTGTAAGCTGGAAATAGTTGCTCAAATTGCTCTTGTAAATGTTCTCCTCCTGCTCAGAAGTTGCACAGCTTATGACAGCCACATCAAACATCCTTTGAAACTTTAATTTTCATTGTGACTGACGTATTCAAGTTTCGCTTGATGTGCAGATCTGCCCTGAAAAGGCTTTCTCTAGCCCCCTCCGCTCACACCTCAGTTTCCACATCCTCCCCAGAAGGAGTTTTACTTTTTCTTTTGCCTTTTTTTTTTTTTAAATTAAGATGCTTTTTTGTTTGTGTGTGTGTTTGTTTTTCGAGCAGGGTTTCTGTGTGGCTTTGGAGGCTGTCCTGGAACTAACTCTTGTAGACCAGGCTGGCCTGGAAACTCACAGAGATCCTCCCGCCTTTGCCTCCCGAGTGCTGGGATTAAAGGCGTGTGCCACCACCGAGATGCATTATTGCTGAGTGTTAAATTTGTCTTAGATTTTCAATCCCACCCCTCCCCCAACCCTCTAGATCCCAAGTACTAGTATTCTAATGTGTGCCTCCCTTGATGCCTGGCTTTACAGACTGTTCATATTTCTTCCCCATAATTTTCTCATCTCCTGTATGCTCACAAATAGAAACACACATTCTAGTTTTTATCTTTTATAAAGAAAAGGGCACAGTTCTTCATGTTCTTTTACTCTGCTAATATGGAGTCTTGTCCCACAATATGCAGAGAGCTTCCCTATTTTACCTTGTGCTATGTATTCTACTTTTAAAGATAGATTAAATTGAGTTTGGGTTTCACCATAGTTTCGGATATGTAGAAAATTACAAAGATGACAGAATATCCTATGGTATTTGGAGTGATTGGTGCGGGGAATACTAATTAGAATAACTTTGGCGAATCAACAAAGAGAACATTAGTCTTACTAAGGATCTTTGAGGATTTACCATTCATTGAGAAATGAGCTGTCCCTGTTGTATCCAGGAAACAAAGCCACAGTTCTCGTTAAAGGAAATGCACCAAAGAAAGCCAAGATGCTTTCGAATATTAATTTACTGGGACTACATCCGATCCCCTCACCCCGTGGGCGTCCCCCCCCCTCGTTTGGACAACAGAGGGGGACTAGACTTACTTTGAAGATTATGCAGTAACAAGTCCAGCAAAGTCATGAATTTTGAATGTTGGTTGATGGAAAAGTCCATGGTTTTGGCCCAAAAGAACCCGGACACATAGTAGTCTAAGAGAATGGCATCTCTTAAGCAAGTCCGGAGATTTTTAAAATTCAGAAACACTTTCATTTTTCTGTGACAAAAAGAAAAATGCAGACAGTAAGTGGGAGTAAGTAGCGAACAGTCCCGAGAAGTCTTGGAAGCAACTAGTTTAATGAAAATTCTAGAATGCTTTTCACCTTAGAGTATTCAGTCATGTCAGAATCCACAAGGTGAAAGGGAAAGGAGGAAAGGGAGGAAGGAGAGAATGGCAAGGAATGGATGGGAGGGTGCTCCTCACTCCTGTCTCAATTCTCTTTTCTCTGTCTCCCCTTCTCATACCTTCAATACCTGGCATTTCTTCCTCCTGAAATTCAAAATTCAATACCCTTTCTTTTTGTGTGTGACAGGCCTCATGCAGCTCAGGCTAGTCTGGAACTTTCCATGCAGCCAAAGATGACCTATCGCCTCTGATCCCCTGCCTCAGTCCCATTGCTGTTTCTGGGATTAGGCCAAGTGGGTGCTCTTCCTACCAGTTCAGCCACACCTCCAGCCAGGACCTCTCTACAAAGCAATCTGCTGTTTTAGTTTGATCCATTTCTGACAACAGATCGTTACATATTGTGTTCTTTTTTTTTTCCCTCTGTAAAGAAAACAAGCCGTTCATCTTTCATTGCTTTTCTGTCAGATACATTTATTTTTTTTTCCCAACCATTCTTCCTTTCCCTGAGTTTGATTCTTATGACTTCTCTCTCAGGATAAGTTAAGCGGTTATCCCTTCTGTAGGCCGCTGTCATATCTTTATGTTTCCCACACTTTTCTTCTGATATTTCTAGCCTTTTCGTTTCCATCATCTCTTCCTCCAGCTGTTGTTAAGTCTGTTTTGTGCTCTTGTTGCTCCATAAGTTTAAAAAATCTGACACAACCTTGACCTGTATTTTCTGTATGTCCCTCTTCACATCTTTCTGATGGTGGCTTTGTCCTGTTCTACATCCTGTCACTGTCTCGGCAGACACAGACCTTATGTGTTAGTTATTTTTAAACAGTGGACAGCTGCTTGCAGGAAATGAACTGGGTGTGGAGACCTGCCTATGATCCAGACTATTAGATGCTCCCTGGATCATTATATCAACACTGGTAGTCACTTCCTGTGCCATGATACAAAGTGGTTGGCACTTCCTGTGTCCTGATAACCAACTCATAGGCATTTCCTGTGTTGAGTTACTTTCTGTTAGTTCTTCTAACATTTATTTTTGTCTTGATTAGTGAGATTTAAAAAAAACATAGACTTATTTGATTGTGACATAAACAGTCTGTAATACAGATGTGTACCCCATTCATGCACACCCAGGCCCTACACTGCAAATGGAAAATCCAGGGGTCTTTCCTCCAGGAAGTGTCCTGTACCTTTCCTTTGTCCTAACACCTGTAGCTGTGTGTATCTCTCTCCAACTGTCTCCTGCACATTCAGCTGATCTGTGATAATCTGAGGATCACCTTCAAAGCTCATGGCTTGGCCTTCAGCATTCTCCTGTCTTGACAATGGCTTCATTGGTTGTCCTTGTTGCTTGTATGTCATTTCCTAAGACGAGTTGGGAGATGGTATGTGTGTGGCAAATTCACTCCGCCATCTTCAAGTGGGGGGCCCTTGTTCTTCACCATATTTAAACGAGTGATAATTAATACAGGTTTAAAAGTAAAAAGGTTTTTTCTGACACTCGTGTAACAAATCAATATCCATCTCAAATGCAGCCTTATCAGGAGAAACTACAGACCCTACATGAGGCCTGATGAGTTTTAAGCAAACATTCCATCTCCCCTCCCCTTCCCACAGTGGCAGACAATGCTATTGAGTCTATTACATTGGTCTAAGAGAAGGGTTTTTCTGTAGGTGCCCTATTACTTTATTAACTCATAAGGACAAGTTAGCTTTTCTTCCACTGTACAAAAGTCAAACAAATAAATTAGTAGCTTTTATTGCTCCTGGCAGCTGTCTTGTAATCTTTATCTAAAATATCACATAACAGGAGACTTAGGAGCAAGTTGACTTCATATTTGAGTTTGAAAGTGACATTATATATGTATATATATATATATAGAGAGAGAGATAGATATGTGCATACATACAGTGTTTATGTATCTGCATCCATTTAAAATTTCTAATGTGTTTGTGTGCATGCACGCAGAGGTCAGAGGACTGCTTGCCATCTTGTCCTGAGATCCGCTGTCTGCCTCTAGGTGCTGGGATCATAGGTAGCTGCCATGACTGCCCATCTTTAACATGGCTGCTGGGGCTCCTAGTTCAAGTCACCAGGCCTTCAGGGTAAACGCTTGATCCACTGAGCTATCTCCCCAAACCCTATTTGGTTGCTTTTACAGATGATTTTCTAAGAAATTTTTTGTGTGATGAGAACTATTGACCCTTTATATTTGGAATGCAGTTTTACAAAGCATTCTGAAATTGTTTTATTTTTGTGAAAGGAAAAAATTGGGTTATTTCCCTCTCATGCACATACTTATTTTTACCAGAATGCTCTAGAATAGTTGTTCTAGTTTATAATTATCCTGTTTGCCTTTATTTTAATTTCAAATGAATCGTGTGCTTACTGCCAGGGATTTTTTCATTTTTATTTTCTTCTAGATCACAATTCTCATTGGCAGTTTTCTCGGTTATTATTATGTTAGAGGCATCAATGAATTGATTAATCTTTCCTGTGGTAATAGGTCAATTTTTCGATTAAATCACAGGACACCGAGGTTTTTGAGTTCTTTATATAAAAATATCCTGAACAATCCCTGCTTGAATTCAATTCTGAAATCACATTCTTTCCTTGAACCAGATTCTGATGACTTGTCTGTTCCTCAGAGAGCTGCTGTCCATTCCTGACAGGGAAATGTGAGGGGCCTGCCTGCTCGTTGTCCCTGGGCCATTTTACGCTGGACACATGAAATGCTTCAGTTTCATTGCACTAAAACAGGAAAACCAAGCGTGTATTGCGTGAAGTTTCATCCTTTTCTGGTTCATTATGTTAGGTGTGTAACCCAACACCCTCCCATCCGGTTGATACACATGCACCGCTATGAATTTCCTTACATTTATCTTCTGCCGTCACTGACTTCATTTTCGGCAAAGCAGATTCCACATTAACTTCATTCTTTATGCACAGTATCTTCTTTCAGCTTAAAGAGTTCCTTCATGTACAGATCTTACTGGCTCTGTAATCTCTTGGTTTGCAGAATCGATCCAGCCTTTAATCTTGAGCTGTTGGTTAACGTTTCTGTCACTTCTGTTGATTTTTCTTTAAACTTTCCCTTCATCTGCCATCTGCATTCTGTGTATTCTTAAGTAAATATCTGACCTCAATACATGCACATGCTCCTTTTTTTTTGTTTTCATTATTTTTTAATGCTTGTGTTTGAATGAACTCAACAACTTTTACAAGTATATTTTGGTGCCCACTCCCTGACCTCCCTCTACCACAGCTTTGACAGACATCCGCCCCATCTCTCTCCCCTTCCTTCCCCCTAATGCCAGTGGGCTCTCTCCCTTGACTTGACCCTCAGGGCTTAGTATCCACAGATTCTATTCTTCCTCCAGGCATTTCACTCCAAAGGAAGTGCTACAGGAAATCAAGACACTGTCACAGCTGGAACACAGTTTCTGTGTCGTCTACTGACCAGTTTTGTCATAGAGGAGGATACAGAGAGAAAGGGAGACAGAGAGATAGAGACAGAGAGAGGAGAGCCACAGAGAGATAGAGACAGAGAGAGGAGAGCCACAGAAGAGAGACAGAGACAGAGAGAGGAGAGCTACAGAGAGATAGAGACAGAGAGAGGAGAGCCACAGAGAGATAGAGACAGAGAGAGGAGAGCCACAGAAGAGAGACAGAGACAGAGAGAGGAGAGCTACAGAGAGTTGTACAGAGAGACAGAGACAGAGAGAGGAGAGCCACAGAGTGATAGAGACAGAGAGAGGAGAGCCACACAAAGAGAGACAGAGACACAGAGAGAGACAGAGACAGAGAGCCACACCTATAGTGTAGGCTGATTCACACAAGGGAAAGGAAGTCAGTGGCATCTCAGGACATTGTGACTTGGCAAGAGGTGATGGAACTGTTTGCTTTGCTTCATTGAGAGTGTCAGCAAACTATCTCATCATTCATCACTCCTTCATGCTCTGGAGCTTGGAATGCCTGCCCCTCCGAAGTGTATCAGCATGCAGAAACCAATTGTGCAGACCAGATTAGCAGATCAGGGAAGTCTGGCTACTGAAAGTTACTAGAAGGCATTGATAGACCTGGTGTGGTCATGCACAACCCAGAGCCCAGCACTTGAGAAGCTGAGGCAAGGGTGTTTCTTTGAGCTTGAGGCCAGCCTTGATGACTAGAGTCAGACTCAGTTTCCAAAAATGCAATCAAAGAAAACCAAGGCTCCGTGTGACTTCTTCGTTTATAAAGTAATTTTTAACTAGCTTCTGCCAGTTTTACAGTTTACAGAAAAATTTCTTTTTCATTTTTACATGGGCATTTTGCTTGCATGTGTGTCTGAGCACTATTTGTATGTCTGGTACCTGAGGGAGGCTGCAAGATGGCATCCAATCTCCTGGAACTGGAATTACAGATGGCTGTTAATCTGCCATGTGGATGATGAAAATCGAACCCAGGTCCTCTGTGCAAAAAGGCCAGTTCTCTTAACAACTAAGCCATTTCTGCAGACCTCTCTTGTTTTTTTGTTTTTGTTTTTGTTTTTTTTTTAATGAAACTTCGGGGTAGATTTGTAAGTACTGCTGAGTTGCATATAAATAAAATATTATTGGTAGCATACATTAGAAAGTCATGAAAAGAACACCAGGCATATGAAGTCTATTTTGGAATGTATTTTGAATAATCCCTCATGTTTCTCGGGTTGCCTGTTGGTATAGAGAAAAAAAAATTCATAATTGTGAAATGTAGGGAAAGTATGATGATTTGTTGCAATTTATTTAAGTAGGTTTATAGCTTTTCAAACTGCATGATCTGGGACTATTTTGGTCACTTGGGAGAGGATAATTAAATTATACTACTGTCTTTTTGAACAATATATAACCATCCCTTACAATAATGCTGCTTTAAATTGAAAATGATTGCAAATACATGTAGATTATTGTTACAGAAATGATATTTAAAGACACAAGAAAATGGCTCCTAAGATAAACGCTGTCCCAAAATTCAACATGCAATTCCTTGATGTGATCATTGGGCTCACTGGAGATGTCAACGGGCTTTTACGACACAGCTACTTTACATATCTCCTATGTTTCTAAGTTTTGTGGCATGTTCTGTTGGTTTTGTTTGTGTCTTTGTATCCTGGCCAGGTAGACCTGGCTCTTCTGGATGTGCTTTGAAAACCAGGCTGGCCATGAACTTATGTGGTGGCCAGCCTATGCTTCTGTCCCTGACTGTGTGGCTCTGACTGCCGCAACACTGGCTGTGTCCCGTGCCTTGTTCCTCATATGCCCTCCCGGTGCTTAAAAGTATTTTCTGAATTTGGATATTTATCAAGGAAGGGCAGTCAATAATTGAAAAAAAAGATTTGTGTTCTATAAAGTAGGTACATAACCACAGCACAACTTACGATGTAGTAAAAACGCACGGCTCTAGAAACTAACATATTATTTAATATTAATTACTGTTAAATACTAAATGTTGGGTATGTTTAATGTTGACATTTTATGTACAAGTAAATTGGAAGCTGGAGTGAATATCTGTCGCTTGCACTGTATTACTATGCCTTAGTTCTGACTACTTGACAAAGATCACATTCATATAGTGACCTGCAAGTGAGAAAACCATTTCACACAAAGTCACTATGGATATTACTAACACCATGGGTGATTTTTAAACATCAATTATTAAAATTGTTTGGATTTATTTGTTTACCCTTCGTGTGTATGGCTCTGTGTGAGGGTGTCCACACACCATAGCACATGTACAGAATACAGAACAACTTACTGGAGTTCATTCTACTATATAGGTCAGGGCTCAAACTCAGGCATCGGGGATCCATCTGGGACATGCTTTCATGCTTTTTTTTTTTTTTTTTTTTTTTTTAAATCAATCCCTGCACTAAGAATCACAGTTTCCAATAAATATTTATTTATGTAGAAATGGTAAAAAGTGTTATGAGAAATCATTTAAAATGGGTGGGGAATTTTTAATTTTCTGACCGATTCTCTGGAAGATGAAGACAGTAGACAGTTGGGCCCAGTCACTGCCATCACTTCCCAGTGGAGCCTGCAAGCATCGGAGGTGAAGTGCACCTTGGGATATAGCTGTAGGTGTTATTTGCCTGCTCCTGATGAGCCTTCTCAGATTCCTCTCCCATTCAGGGCATCTGCCATTGCTCCTTCTCAGGAGTAAATCACGTCAATGCCATAGCACTTGTAAATCTGTTTGTGGTCACTACCGACGGAGTCATTGTCTATATGTTCATTATGGTCTGTGACACCTTGCTTGTGTCCTGAGTACTGGCTTGCAAAGACCAGATTTCCAGGCACACAAGCCCAATCTGACTTCCCATAGCTAAGCAGGTTTCCATTTCAAGGTGGGATAACTTTGTTTTAAATTGTGGGTGACGGCTTAGCCACGAGGTTACCTTTCTAACCACTCATAGACATCTTTAAGGAAACCATGTTGACTAGCAAACTAATATTCTAAATAAATGATATGCCCTGGTACTATATGCCCCAGACAGCATGATGTTAGAATTATTGTGACAAATTCAGTCCTACCTACGTTTTAAAACACATGTCCTAAGAGCCTAGAATTTAGCATTATTGTTTCTTATAAATGATGTCACTGGTAAAAGGCTAGCACGCAGAATTTCAAAAATCATAACTGTGCTGGATAGTTTTATGTCAACTTGACACAAATGAAAGCCATCTGAGAGGAGGGAATCTCAGTTAAGAAATTGCCTTCATAAGATTGGGCTGCAGGCATGTCTATAGGGAATATTCTTAATTAATTATTGATGGGTAGGTCTCAGCTTATTGTGTGTGGGACTACTTCTGGGTTGGTGGTCTTGGGTTCTATATGAAAGCAGACTGAGCAAGTCAAGAAGAGCAAGCAGGAAGCAGTACCACTACATGGCTTCTGCATCAGCTCCTGCCTCCAGGTTCCTGCTTTGCTTGAGTTCCTGTTCTGACTTCCTTCAGTGATGAACAGTGATGTGGAAGCGTAAGCTATATAAATGGTTTCCTCCCCATTTTGCTTTTGCAATGGTGTTTGATACCAGCAATATTAACCCAAACCAAGACAAGAACCTAATTGACTATTAATGTTATTAATATATTTGCTATATTGTATGGCTATAATTAATGTTGTAGAAGGATGTCCTTTGGATTATGGGGCACATTGACAGCTTCCTTAATGTAAGGGAAGAGACACAGAAGAGGGCACAGGGGAGATACAGGGGGTTCTTGGTCAGCATTAATAGTTTGCCAATGCCTGCCCCTCATCAGGAAAGGCTGCAGATCTGTAAGAAAGGTCAATTACTCTCTCTCTCTCTCTCACACACACACACACACACACACAGAGAGAGAGAGAGAGAGAGAGAGAGAGAGAGAGAGAGAGAGAGAGAGAGAGTGTTCTTAAGGCTTGAGATTTTTTAGTAAACACTATAGTAGTGCATAGTTTGAAATAAAAGCTTAGAAAGTGCCAATAGTGCACCTCTGTCTTCACTTAGCAATGAAGGTCTAGTTGACTGAGACTCTGGAGTACTTACTCTTGAATTCCATCCATGTCAGCTTCGCTCAGCAGGTCAGTGATCTGGTCAGGTGAGAGCAAATCTTGAGAAAGGATCTTTTCATTCTCCTGGAATTCAGTGTTTTTCTATTAAAAACAAAACAGAATGGCTTATCTGAATTGTGTATTTTGTATCCTAGCCCCGATGATATAAAAACCTTAGTCATTTTCTTTTCTGCCGATATGTTGGTGGTGTCTCTCCACCAAGAAGTCACACAATCAGAAAGTCTATCCTTGGGCATGTGCAGAACCAAGGGCTGCTTTACAGTTCAGCAAACACCGACTGTCTATGTGTTTCTCTTTGAATTGCAGGCTCAAGAGAGGGTAAAGCCAAGGAGAGACTTGCTTGCCCCAAGGAGATCAACATTGGGTTCTTAATTTACTCATCCTACGTTAATAGTGCATCGGTATAACAACTTAATATTAAGTTACAAACACCGAACCAATAGAGATTGTATTAGCTTTGAAATTTTCCATTAGAAAGCAGCAGGGCTCATACTGTAGCTCAGGGGGTGAGGTGGTTGTGTGTAGTTAAGGTAAGTAAAACTTGGAACATGCTGGGGACAGGGGTGGAGGTGGAGTTGATCAGAGCATATTGTATGTGTTATGAAATTCTCAAAAACAGAAAGGAATATCTCAAAGAGAAAAGAACATGACAAATAAGCTGTAGTAAGTAGGGCATTCAGTCTCTAAGCAACGACAAAGACAGGGATGTGAATGGACCGTACAGAGACAGGGACCCCATGAATGGCCTTTCAGGACTGGCCTAACCAGAGCCCTGGGCGAACAGCTCTCAGTAGTGCCCAGGACAGGCGTCAGGAATGAGATGGAATCCAGTGATCTGTGTACACTGCAGCATGCTGGAGGAGGTCCTGAATTTAAGAAGATGGCAAATAACCCCCAAAAGCTTACAAAGTAGAACAACTGTGAGTGGAATTGCCTTTTCATCTTCATCTCTCCATGGCATGGTTGCTCGGAGAGTGTTGAAGAAGTGGGAATTTAGAGGAGATGCAGACAAGGTCATGGTCGGACTGCTGATTAATTTTAAGACTTCAGTCAGCTCCTTTGATCTCAAGTTTGGATTCGAATTTTTTTTTAAATCATTTCTTTTTCCATGTTTGGGTACTCACAGGTCTGCCACAATGAGTCAGGGCGAGAAGTACATGGGGAGTGAATGATACCGACATACAGATCAATTTACTTGACAAGAAAAATTCTGTATAGAAAAAGATTAGGACAGACAGAACTATATGAAAGAGAATCCAATAATATCCATGCTTTGACAGTCAGAGCCCTGGCAATGATGCCCGATGTCAGTGCTCATGTTTTTACTAAAATTCGGGGGTTTAAGACAATCATCTTTCAGCAGAGCTTGCCTCTTTTATTAGTATTAGTGTTCATAATAGCAGCATTTTAAAAATACATGCTTCTGTACCTATTCTAAATGAAGCTTCCTTCCCATCCTCCTTTCTTTTTTTCCTTTTTTTATTTCTCTGCTGCCTTGCACTAAAAAGAATATTAATTAGGTGAGTAAAAGTCTTCAATCTTTCAGTGCATGCATTCTGTCATCTACAACCTCCAGATACAATGGTGATTCATAAACAGGCTAAAATTGCCCACCTGTCTCTGTGGCTTTCTGTGTTGCCGTGTCTCTAGTTTGGCAGCTCTGTGGCCACACTGCTCTGTGAGCTCACTTCATCCCACCTACTGCTGGATTTTAGCATCCATTCCAAAAACAACAGTTTAAGCCTCCTATTATTTACCAGATAATCTTTTGTCTGACTTCTGGTCCTCCAGTGTCACCTGAACACTCCACATCTGTAAACATGTTTTCTTCCTAGAACATGGGCTATTAGGAAAATACCTGCACCCATTGCTGGGAAAGCTTCACATAGGAGAGCGAGCCTCTAGAAAGCGTCATGGAAAGGAAAAGATTACGGATTTATCTGATTAGGAAAGAGGGCTTTCCCAGTCAGAAGAAACATGAGCTTGTCTACAAATGCCAGATTTGGAAAGTTTTTTCCTTCAAGCCTAAAAATAAACGAACTAAGGAGCAGTGTGGAGTTAAACTGCATCGGAGTAATAGGCAAGAGAAAAATCAGGGGTATTGATGCTGTCTTTATTTGAAAATTTGATCCATTTCATTTCTTGCACCCACTTTGCTTTTATCAGTGTGGCCCATTGCAGCATCCCCCTGTCTAGATTGACTAGGTACTGGCACTTCTTAGATGCTGAGCTGGATAGGACCTCACCCCTCTCACTGGGATCTTCCCACGGGGCTCAGAGACCAATTATTTTTTTAAAAGAAAATAAGTAATTAAAGGAATGAGAAACAAGTAAAATAGTTAGCTATTTAAAGATATGACTAAAAAAGGCAACTTCTTTATTTAAAGAATAAAGAAAGTGAATGTCTGCCACAGCAGGTAGCAAAACATTAGAAAACACAAGGAAATGGATGATCTCCTAGGAAAATATGTTGTTAAAACTTAGTGGGATAAAGGAGAGAATAGATCTGACCAAACAGGATCCAAACTGGTTTCTACCTTTTGTAAAGTTCACTTGCCTATGTGGTATTATCCTGAAGTTCTACATTTAATAAAAATCTAGGTTAATAATTTTAGTCTATTAAGAGTTCAGGTTTTTTTTTGTTGTTGTTGTTCATTTGTTTTGTTTTGTTTTGGGCTGGGTACTGGTGGTGTACACTTTTAATTCAAGCACTAGGGAGGCACAGACAGGGGCAGATTTCTGTGAGTTTGAGGCCAGACTGGAGTATAGAGTGAGTTCCAGGACAGGCAGGGCTACACAGAGAAACTCTGTCTTGAAAAACCAATCCCCCCCCCAAAAAAAAAACAAAAGGAAAAAAAGAGCTCTTTTTTTTTTTTTTTTTTTTTTTTAAGCTGAACATCTAGAATGTGGATAGAAGAACCCAAAGAATCACAGAATGTAATAGAATATAGAAACCCAAAGCACTAATGAGTTTGGACTGTGTGGTCAGAGTTAAAAATAGATGAATCCCACTGAGATCAAGAGATAATGGCCCATCACCCAGACAGAACCATCACTACAAAAGGGGACATAAGTTTATGTCGAACTCAACTCGCTTTCTGTGACTGCTCCGTAAATGCCCACTAGGTGCTTTCTAAACTCAGCATCGAAACACTTGGTGAATATAAATGGAAAAAGAAAACTGAGATAGACAGAGTATCTCTGAAATTGCTGCAGCCACCATAGTACCAAAAGTTGGGATAGCTGTAGTCAATGCTGTAGAACCAAAAGCTGGAGATGGGATCCCGACAAGCAACCTCACCGTAATTCAACATGAGAGTCATTCTCCTCCATTACAGTTAGAAGATAAGAAAGTCAAATATGTGGCTTGAGCAGTAGACCCAGAGGAACAAAAAGGCCTTTATTTGAAGATTACCTCATAGTGTCCTTAAGGAGGCTGACGTTATACGAACACTCAGCTGAGAAACCTGGTAAAATGGTTACACATCACATAAATATCCAACGCCAGCTTCTCTTCTCTGTTTGAGAAACTAATCAGAAATGGAAATGCCCCCAAACCTGATTAAATTATACTTTGTTCTGAGTATAACAAAGGCACAAGAATTACCACAAAATTCCTCCAACTTTGTCAGAACTTGCAGGCTAAGAACTGATAAAAAGAAATTTATTAGGAACTCTTTCAAATTCAAGAACTGAAATTCCTCTCACATAATAAATGTGATGCAAAGACAATTCTGAATCCCAGTGGGGGTTTCCCCCCAGAACTTTACAAGATAACTTTTAAATTCTTATAGGAAGATACAGACATTTGGGAGACGTGAAGACTTCGAAGGGAACCTTCCCAAACTAGTTGTAAAACAGAATATAAAATGGTGTAACCCTGCTAAGAATTGGACAGACTAAGGCTTGGGGAGGTGGTTCAGTGGGTAAAGGGCCTGCCACACAGTCACAACGACCTGCGTTTAGGTCCCCAAAACTCACATGAGAAGCCAGGTCATGGTGTGCTTTAATAATCCCAGTGGTTGAGACAAACAGATCCCTGGAGCTCCACAGCCAGTTAGCCTAGAGCAGCAGTTCTCAGCCTGGGGGGTCTTGACCCCTTTGAGAAATCTCTGACTCCAAACATATTTACATTATGATTCATAACAGGGGCAAAATGACAGTTATGAAGTAGGAGTGAAAATAGTTTCATGGTTGGGGGGTCACCACAAGGTGAGAAACTGTGTGACAGGGGTGCAGCATTAGGAAGGTTGAGATAAACAATTCCTGAGGAATTTGTGAGGTTCACATCCTCATAAGAGACCCTGTCTCACAAATTAACTTCTGGGAATGGTATTGAAAGTGCAGAAACTTGAAGGTTTGCTGTTTAGAAGAGACTGAGTTTTCTCATCTGGCACCTGGCAGGCTGCCATGGTTTTAATGTGCTACCATAATTGCTTGAGCACCTACTAAGTGAAGGACAACAGTTTCAATTCTAGATGTTGTCACATCGGCAACACATGGGGAACCACTGGTGATTGAAGCTTGTCCTTTACTTCTGATGGACTTAGCCAAAAAAGAAATATTTCATTCTTGAATGCCTCACACCACTAAAGGGTCTTCTGTCTAATTAAATTTTGATACAGAATTTGCCAGGAAAGAAATCCTGAAGTGGATAACTCTAAGGAGGATAATTTTGCAGGGAATCTGATCCAAGGTTCTTTCTCTCAGCAGCCTTGGGGAAAGGACTGCAAGGGTGTCTTTTGTTGTGTTTTCCTTCTAACCTCAAAGTCCCTAGATAGCCCAAATGGGTGGTCCTGATGGTGGACCATCTTGCTATGGGCCACAAGAAATGAATTTTACCGGGGTGAAATATGGAGAGTCCACTACTCCATATATTAACTCTCATTCTTAGTCAAGGAATACTGCTAAGCGAGTCCATGTTACAACTGGATTTCTTCAGTCACTTAATAATAAAAATGATTGAGCTAATAAAAATTGAAACACACACACACATTCTGAAATACCAAGTCATTAAACTTCAAATCACTAAATATTCTTAGAGAAAGCATTGCATCCACAGGTAAGTTTGATTGTGCCCACGTGGAGATGATACAGTCTTAGAAGTTCTTATATATGTTTAAATGGCATAAAATGTAATAGGGAGGTTTCCTGTGCTGGTTTAAAAATTAGGTTAACTTTGCGATCACAGGGGAGGAATGGTCTTGGAATCCTGTTTATCAGGTTAAAATGTGCATTTAATGTATGCCAATTTTATTTAGAAAGGCTCATAGGAGAGCCTGAAGGCTTAGCGGTCTGCCTGCAGTATTGGGGGACCTGAAGGAGGTCAGACAGGAAGGCATGGAATTATTGGCTTTATGTTTCCTAACTTCCCAGACCACAGAGAGTACTTATCTTCCGAATAAAGATGGTTGTTTAGACTAATATGGGGGCTAAACAAAGCTGCATTAATTACACTTCATTATTCACTCTTCGGAGCCTTTAAAAAAGGAAGGAAAAATAACATCCTAGAAACAGTATTTGATAGACACAGCAAGGAGATTTAAACATTAAAAAAACCCATAGTTGGCTTAGCGGATACGCTTATGGTTAAAAACTCAGCACAAGATGGTGACACCACCTGCCAAGGCTGAACACCTGAGCTTTAGCACTGGGACCCGCAAAGGCACCATCAAGTGGTCCTCGGACCTCCACACTGCACAATGGCACGCAGGCTTTTACCCATCCACCCATCCACCCATCCACCCATCCACCCAGCCACAAATAAGTAAAAATATAGTTAAGGTAGAGCTTCATGGCATTAAGCCCATAGGCAAAATGACTTAATGCATCCCTTATTCCTTAGTGAGACTTGGTACAAGAAGGCGTCTTAACATGACAGAGATTGTGTTATGCAGGAGGTCCCTGGGGTACCCAAGGACAATTTCATGATGAAGCAGGAAGCCAGGAGGCAGGAAACACACTGTCAGTTCAGGGGCTTTGGATCCTGTCTCCTGGCAAAGGGCCTGGTGACAACAGAATCTAAAACAGACCCACTCAGATCGCAGCAGCCTTTAACACTGTTTGATCAGTTGTGATTGATCGTCACAGTCAATCAGTGGCACTTACAAAAGGGACTGGTCTCCTTTAAGATCAGAGATGACTGTTTTGTTTGTTTTCCAACTGAATATTTGCATGGTTGTGAGGCTGTGTGAGCATGGAACTTTCCAGAGTAAGCTTACAGGGTTTGTGATGAGCTTCCGGGGTCCTCTGATCAGACAGGCAGCTTGCAGGCCATCACCGGCTGCGTTACTGGTGACTCTGGCCTTGACATTGAGTGATCTTGGCATTAGCCAAGGACCCAGTCCCGGACAGGAAGAGGGTGCATACCTCAGAGTCAGCTGTGCTGTCTGCTGGAGTCACCGCGGGGGTCGTGGCCCCTGGGGTCCACAGTCCTGCCATGTTATCGCTAGAGGAAGCAGTCCTTGTCGCCTAGGCAACCTGGGTGGGACCCAGTGTCGCTGACGGAACCGAGACGAGGCCCCGCCCACCCATGGGGCCGGATGAGGCCACCTGCTGCTCGAATTACAGTGCAAAGTGAAAAACATAAGAAGCGATTTCTGGTGATGCAGAAGGCTAATTTTAAATTGGGAGGTGATAAGTGATTGGGGCTCTGGCTATTGATAGTTAGTCTTAAGCAATTTTTGAAACGTTTTCAAGTCTCACCATGGCATTGTGGTCTTTAGAAGGAAAAACTGACCCTAGTTTTAGAGATGCATATTTAGCTAGTGATAGAGATGATAGTCCGAAACTTACTCCCAAATATCTAGGGAGGTGATGGAATTGGGATTGCTGTAGAGATGGAGTTAATACACTGTCTCTTCTTGTACATGTTTGAAATTTCCATAGCACAAACCCTGGAAACAATGTTTCATATACATTGTACATATATG